AGCTGTTAAAGTGCTATATAAATAAAGTTGGATTGGATTGGATAATCAAGGTTGTTTTAAATAACATATCCGTATTTATTTATTTCTCCAAGAAACGTTTTTGTGTGCACTGAGGAGTCTCAAACAGGCGTTTGTTTAATCATTTTAAGATTGGCTTTAATTAATGTTTGAAAATGAATTCTTTATATATGATAAATGAGAGGTAACATTTTATTTATGGTATTATTTCCACATATTTCTCTCCATTCTTCCTTCTGCCGGTGTCGCAGTTTCTCGTCCCTCTCGTGTTTGTGCTTAGTGCGTACGCATGGGTTAGAGTTTGCGTGGAGGACCGCATGTCAAGTTAGTATTTTATAAATCGCAAACATTGCGTAGAAACTGCCGTACACCATTTTTTGAGCGTATATCCCTTTATAAATGAGGCCCCTGATCCCTGTTTGTTCTCCCATTGATTAAATTCACACCTTTTTTTCTTTCGGTTAGAATTTACTGAATAGAGAAGAAAATTCAACGTTTGCTGCTATTGTTTTTATTCAAAGCAGTTCACAGCGAGTAAGCAAGTTAGGGGAGGTCTTGGATCAAGGGCAGGTCATGTGACTGTGATTGTGCTATGGTATCTAGACATACAGACAATTATGGTTGTATTTTGTCAAGATTTGAGAGCTCATTTCATTTGCTTATAGTCTTTTCTTTACCTTTTAAAAAAATCTATCTCTCTAAAGAACGTGCTGCCTGCAGGTGTTATAGGCACTATTTCCTTCTTAGAAGCAATGTATGTGGATTATTCTGAGAAAACAGGACATTTCTGTATCTTTACCATAAACAGTGACTTCTGCTCCTGGCCAAGAAATAGACTTAAATTGTCCTTGGTTAAGCCTATCAACTTCCAGCTGTGGCTTTATATTTAAAAGATAACTAAGGCAGATGCTTCAATATTCTAAGCTAACACTTGGCAAGAAAACAAATATGGCTGTGAAGTATACGTTCTCATTGTGTTATTTCGCAGAGGACTATAAGAACAAGCCACATTTTTATATTTCCAAGAATGAGGAAGTGTTCCTTTAGGATTTGGACAAAAATAGACATTACCCCAATATTAATGTATCTAGCAATGTTTGACAATGATGGATTGTATAGAAACTATACCCTCATATCCATTAATTTCAATAAAGACTTCACTGCATGTCACCCTCCCCTAACTGTCACTGTGATAACATTCACCTAAAGAAGAAAACACTTCAGCTCAGCCATTGAATTTGATCCTTTGAAAGATAATGCCAATCATCTTCTTGGTTCTGATTAAAAAATCTATCTTGCTTTGTGAAATGTTCAACATGTAGGCGTGATCTCTCCACTTCACTATTACTCTTTTTTTTTATGTGCATCTCACAGTTTGATATATGACTCATGCCTTACAAAAATCTGTCACTAGATTTCTGTGGTAGCCATATTTTTTCTTGCTTCTTTGCGGATTTTCACGACACGGTTTCTCCTGCCTCCCTCTGTTGTCCCTGGCTTCGATCACGTCTCTCCATCCACTCTCGTGTCTCTCTTTTCCTCCCCCACATTCTGACTAATGTCCTTTAAATACCCCTCTGTCCCTCCTTTTCCCGCCTGCCTTCTTCTTTGCCCCTAAGCTTATACTTTCCCTTCAATTTCATATTCCTCCCACAACCCCACACCTCTTCATTTGCCTTTTTCGCCCCATTTTAACACACACACACATGTGCTTACTCTTGCCCCCAGGCCTCATCATTTCCCTGCAGCTGCTGCGAGGTGAGCTGGAGCAAATCCGACGGGAGAACCAGGCCGTGTTCAACAGGGCCCTGGCACTCACACGCAAACTGGGTTTCCCAGATGTCATCCTGCCAGGTGAGGAGGCAGAGAGCAGCGGGCGGTAATGGGGACGGAGAGTTCAAGGAGGAGGTGGAAACCAGAGGCCAGATGGCTTGGAGGAATGAAAAGAGGGGACGCTCACAGGTCAGGGTACAGAAGATGAAGATGAAGGAGGACAGGGATAGGGCAAGGAGGATGGGGGTGAAAGATTAAATAGAAGAAAACCGCAGGAAACAGGAAGATGTAGGAGAGAGCAGAGTGTTGTGCCAAGGAAATGTTAATTTATTTATCTGCTGTACTTCACTTTTTCATTTTGATGCTACTTTATACTGGTGCTACATTTTTCTACAGTTACAGTAAACATTGAGTAAAATAACAAAATACAATATTTGTACAACATTTTTTCAATAGTAGTGGCCTTTTGTTACATTTCAGGGATGTCATGAGTTGTTAAAGAGACATTCCCTGTCTGAACTTCCAGAAAGTTTAATTTAAATAACAATGTGAGTCCTGAAGAGGTAAACATATTAAACATTTGATAAAAACAGCATAAACTAGAAGTGCCTTCAGAGAGAGCAGACCTCCGCCAAGACTGAATCCATAAGTGAAAAGTGATTGTGTATTCACCTCATGATTCAGATCTGCTGCAATGGTTATTGGTTCCTTTTTGGCCGATATATCACCCTTGAACCAAGTTTCCTGAAAATCGGGTCAGTCATTTTTCCGTGATCCTACTGACCGACAAACCGAACAGATACTGAACCAAAAATATGACTTCCTTTACTGAGGTAATTAAAGAAACATTCTCAGAAAATGAACTCAAATTAGTAGGGAAGAAGAATGTAGGTTCATTGCATTTCTCATTTCATCCTTCAACCTTCAGAGTTATCTTCGACCCTTTCCAGAGGACCCAGGATTGGGAACATCAAAATACACAGCTGTGTATAAAGTATTTAAATGCATCAGTATTACCGAGTAAAATTATGAGTGCAGGATTTTTACTTGTAATGCAATATTCTTGAATGTTTTTATTGTTACTGGTACTTCTTCCACCACTGGTGTTTAGGAGGCTCTCGGATGTGTCACTCCCTACAGTATTTTTGTGAGATCTGCATTTAGGTCAGGTGCTGAGCAACTTATGAAAAGCAGAGGTCTTCAAAGATATCTCAAAGAGAGAGAGAGAGAGAGAAAATCTGAGGTGTGTGTTTATTTCGGTATATTTCATCAGATATCATGGCTCTGCTTTGTGTCTACTGAGAATGTATGATCTTCTCCTCTCCTCTCCTATCCTCTCCTCTCCCATCCTCTCCTCACCAGTTAGCCTGAAATACCTCCCAATATCACCTCTTGTGACTCATGCGTCCCCAAGGAAATGACTTGGATATAAATAACTATAATCTGATTTTATAAATAACTGCAATATCTTCCTCCGCTGTTGCCACTGATATTTATTGCATTAAACACTGACCTCACAAAAGGTGCTGAGGCAGCCATGAGCTACAGTGTATTACAGCTCAGCTGGGTCATTTCTCATTAACTGGAACAATGACGTGTGGTGCACATCTTAGTCTTAATTTATGCTGACCACTCGCAGTTCATCTGTTGGGCAGACGCTGACATGTACATTATAAAGTATTAACATCGCCAGGACAGGACACATGTTGGTTCTAATAGTCTACTGAGATGTTTATGTCGTGTTATGACTCTAAACCTCAAGATTCTGCGCATGACTTCCTAGTTAGTGTGTCAAGCTTAAAGGAGTGCTCCTCAGATTTAGCCTTTAGCATTGCACTCACAAAAGGCCTAAAATGCATGTAGCAGAGCCACAGATATAGTCTCTTTTTTGTTCTATTCATTGTTCTTACTTGTTTAAACCTGACGCCCGTTGCTACCCATAATGCAATTTAATGTGGCAGTTGGGAGCAGAGATCAGGGTGTTATGCTAGCAGCTATTAATGTAGAATGGAGTGGAGATGAGGAGCGAGCGACAGATGTTTAGTAAACTTCACATATTCCTTCACCGTGGATATGAGGAGAGCTGTGGCCCCTTGAGACGTTGCGTCTAAAAAATTACGGAACTATTTTCCCCATAGACCACCATTAAATAAGATGTGTGTGTTAAGCTATTGACAAAAGACGATTATTGTTATTTTAACAATATAATTTTTATAATTTTTAACCTTTCCCTAATTATAGAAAATCAATTTCCATTTGTGGGATGGATCATCCTTATGCAGGCGTTAGGCTGCAACATGAAAGCAAGCGCTTCTGGCTTCTGTGAGCAATTTTAATACAAGTGACTATGCGCCATCAACCTCTAGCTATTATAACTTTATAAAAACCTTTTTTTCCCAACCGACAGGGCAGTACTAGTGCTCACCAGTCTTTTATGTGTTGAAGTGGGAATTTTCTTTTACTAACATTTCCCCTTCGTATTTGTCTTAGGTGACACACGCAACGACCTGTATCTGACCCTGGAGAGGGGAGAGTTTGAGAGGGGCGGCAAAAGCGTCCAGAAGAACATCGAAGTCACACTCTACGTACTTTACGCCGACGGGGACACACTCAAAGTATGACACATATGTGCATGAGTTAATGAGTGTAACCTAACCATACTTCCTCATGTGTCATTAACACTAATTTGATACGTCATTAACAACATGTCACTAAAAACAATCTACTGTGCTGCCTTTCGTCTCAGGACTGCATCAGTTTGGGCAGCGGCGAGCCCAGCTCCAGCGAATATCGCTCTTTCGTCCTTTACCACAACAACAGCCCTCGCTGGAGTGAGATGGTCAAGCTGCCCATTCCCATAGATCGTTTCAGAGGATCCCACCTACGCTTCGAGTTCAGACACTGCTCCAGTGAGTCACTAATGCAGCCCGGTGGCAGTCATCCCTTAGCGTATGAGTTTATTCGGACAGATTGGATCACGCTCTGAGTTATACAAGTAGTTGGGCTGTGCTGATACAGTGTGATGGTGCATGATACTATGATGTGCTTCTTTTCAGCTAAAGACAAAGGAGAAAAAAAACTGTTTGGTTTTGCGTTTACTCCTCTGATGAGAGAGGACGGGACCACACTGTCAGATGAAAGCCATGAGCTATATGTGTACAAGGTATGTGCAGGTTTATTATATATTATATTTTAGTTTTATTCCACTCATGGAACTAAACATCTACACTTCTATCAGTTGTTTTGTAGGCCATGATGGAAAGGAGCTGGGAGGTCTTATTTTAGCTTCCCCTTACACACAAATAGATGGTCTGTTAATCACCGCTGCTTACAACCAATACTTTCAGTAACATAAAACGATAAACGCAACAAACTACCATCAACGAAACAGGTTACCGTACTTCTTAATACTGTCTAATTATTATTTCTTTATACATTTGATTAAACTTAAAGATGTCCATACAGCCCTTTAAATCATTTGGTAAAGAATTCCACAGTTTAACGCCAACTACAGAGGTACACGTTTGCTTTAAAGAAGTCTTTGCAAACTAATGCTTAAAGTTACATTTCCTTATATGTTGCTCATCATCTACCATCATCTATTATGTTTTTCACTAACTAGGGAAGTCTGTAATTCAGTAAAATCTTTAAGTTTTAACACACATATTAGATAAACAGTGTTCTGTATCAACTATAAAAAAATATGCATAATGTCATAATGATTGTTGTTATATAACAATATTAACAAGACACACTTTGCTGTCTCTTTAACTATGACCTTTGTGTCTTGAACTTTTAAATCAAAAGTCTCCCAGCTGTGGCGGGTGTCAGCTGCTGCCGGCTCTCTGTTTGTCTTCATTGTGTTTCCTCAGCAGTGGACCCTCGGTCACTCTGTGCTCTGCCAACATGTAATTAAATGCACCATCCATTTTCTCTGCTCTATTTCACTAGAAACATGTACAGTATATACCATGTGATAGCTGAGCAACCCTGAGAGACTGATCAAACAGTGTACATTCAAAGTGTTGTTCAGGACTGTTAACCCTGTGCAGGAAGGACCAATGCAGTTAGAGTTGTCTCATACAACAATAATACAAGCATGACATAATCAACTAAGAGGATTTAAAGAATATGTCTGCAGATTTTCATGCACATTTAGAAGGTGTACAAAAAAATCCAGTTGCCTTTTACTGGAAAAGATAATGTGCCGTATTTATCTATCATCAATTGAACAGCCTTAGAAGCCTTTTGTGTGGGCGCACTTGTTGCTTTCTGGGTAGAGTGCATACCATTAGGGTCCTTATAGCACTGGTCTGGCATTTTACCCACTCTCTTCCCACTGTCTGTCTGTCTCACAGTCAAATAAATACAAAATGCCCAACAATGATTCAAGAAATATTCCTACTGTGCCACAATTTGTTACATAGATAGATGGATAGATAGATAGATAGATAGATATATGGATAGATAGATAGATAGATGGATAGATAGATAGATAGATATATGAGATAGATAGATGGATAGATAGATAGATAGATAGATAGATAGATAGATAGATAGATAGATAGATACTTTATTGATCCCAGTTTGGGAAATTCTTTTGTCACAGAAGCAGAAGTGTGTTCAGACTAATATAATACAATACTTATAAAGTGGAAAAGAGAATTAACAATTACAAATAAAATGAAAAATATTATATCAAATATAAGCAAAATAATATACAATATTCTGGATGATTAAAATAAAAAGTAAAAAATACAACAGGATCCAAAATACTACAGGTTAGATATGATTATCTGCATCCAGTTAGTTTGCAATATATGTATGATCAGTGTAACTTTGTTGTAAGCATCCTAAAGTATCCCCCTCAGAATAAAGAAAGTATGACAACCCCAACTTTCCGTCCATAATGAAGATGATGATGGTTCAGTGCCATTGTTCGTTAACTTCTTTGACCTCCAAGTTGCCTTTAAACCATAATAAACCCTCTCGTTCCCTCTGGTATCTGTCCTCCAGTGTGATGAAAACGCCACCTTCAGTAACCAGGGTCTGTACCTGAGTCTGCCGTGCTGCAAAGAAGACTTCAACAGCTGCCCCAACCTGCCGGCCAACCTGCCCTTCCAGAGGAGCCCCAAAGAAACCTTCTCGGTCTCCACAATACTCTGCTCCACCAAACTCACACAAAATGGTAATTCACCATCTCACACGCTCTTATTTATATTTCCCCTTGGATTGAATTGAACTCAATTTGAGTTTACTCTGTTTCTAGTGGACCTGCTGGCTCTTCTCAACTGGAAGGCACATCCAGACAGGGTGTTGGACATCCTCGGTCGATTACGTCAGATTAATGGAGAGGAGATTGTCAAGGTCACTGTCGTCATATTATTCATATTTCATGAAGAGAATTATTAATGTTTACCTTCTGTGCGGCAGGGGAGGTTATTGGGTGTACTTGACTATACGCTAAACAAAATATGTAATCTAATAACAGAAAAGACACTAGTATAGTTTTCTAAGGTGCATTTTAAGTTATTATTTAACATATTTTATACTGTTTTTAATTTGTAAACCTCATTTCAGAACTAAAAAAAGTTTTTATTTCTGTGTTTCTGGATGAATGGGCTACCCTTTGTTTCTATTTTATTTTCCAGCGAGGCCTTTAATGTGAAGCCTGTGTATTCCTTTGTTTCCCCTCACAGTTCCTGCGAGATGTCCTGGATACGCTCTTCTGTCTTTTAGATGACAACACTGATAAATACGGACCGCTGGTTTTCCAGTCACTGGTAGGAAAATTAAAGGAGCATAAGTATACTCTACTACATGATTTGTTTTGCCTGTAGCCAGAGAAAGTAAGCTTAACATCTATATGAATATGTTTTTAGGTTTTCATCATCAACCTGCTCAGGGACAGCCGTTTCTACCACTTCAGACCTGTCATGGACGCCTACATCCAAAACCACTTTGCTGGAGCTTTGGCATACAAGTAAAACATTAAAACACAAACGAAAATCTCAATTAGATAACCTAAAAAGTCACACTTGATATTGAGCCTCATAATATTAAACTGTGTCTCTGCAGAGAGCTGATTCGATGTCTGAAGTGGTACATGGACCGCTCGGCTGAGGTCGTCAGGCAGGACCACATCCAGGAAGCCATGAGGGTAAAGTATCAATTCACTTCCTTTGTGTCTTTCCTGGCTCCTTCTACTGGGATTAATTAGAAGGAAATGGTAACAGAGGAACTGATAAGGAGTCATGTGAAGCCATGTGAGGCCTCAGTGAGGGACTTCAGAGTGAAACATTTCCGCATGGTCTTTGAATTTCCTTTTCAGAAAAAACACAAATCTGAATAGTGGAATCGTATTTTTCGTTTATTGAAATTCATTGTGTGAAATTACATTTACATTCACTGACTGCAGTTCTCCCTCTGCTTCCCCTCAGGCTCTAGAGTACCTGTTCAAGTTTATCGTCCAGTCTCGCATCCTGTACTCCAGAGCCACCTGTGGGATGGAGGAGGAGCAGTTCAGAGCGAGCATCCAGGAGCTTTTCCAGTCCATCCGCTTCGTCCTGAGTCTGGACAGCCGCAGCTCGGAGAACTTGGTGTTCACGCAGGTCAGAAAGTTCACACTAAACTCTACTGCTCTAAAGACGTACAGTGCGTCAACTTTTATCTTTATCATATATGTTTTTATTTATCCATCATCTTACGTTTCATTCATGATTTATTGTTGACTTTTTATTTGTTAACTTGTTTCTATTTTCGTTCTTTTGACTTATTTCACCTCTCATCCGTGCATGTTGTGACTCATGCTTTAACCCCTCGCCCCGTCCTTGTCTTGCTCTGGGACAGTTTAGAGGTGTGAGCAGCTGCATGCTTTTCTGTGGTATCATGCTCCGGGGGTCTCGTCCATCTCAGTAAGTCACAAGCGCCCCCCTGTGTTGGTTCCACAATGCAGTCGATGTAAAGGAAGATGTATTCCTAAATCAGTGCTAAATTGAGATTATGGCTGCGGAAAGCCATGTATTGTGTTTTAAAATGTTGGTGCTTCTTCTAAAGCAGGGGTGTCAAACTCAATTTCATTGTGGGCCACATTAGCATTATGGTTGCACTCAAAGGGCCAGTTATATCTTTAAGACTATATAAATATACATATATAAATATATAATATATATTAAATAATGTATCATATTACATTATTGGCTCTGCATTCGATTATTATCAGTTCTGGTAATAACTTCATAAACAACTACGTCTGAAAGCAGAAGTCTAGGGCAAATAATTGAAGGCAAATATTCAACATTTACACCAATTGTATTGTATATAATATTCTTTGCAAGCTCTTAAGGGCCACATAAAATGATGTCTTGAGTTTGACACCCCCTGTTTTTTGTGACAATATTATTCCGTATGCACCCTTCAAAATCCTTTATCTGTGTCCTTTGTTTCCCCCCGTCAGGCAGCACTGTTGAACAGTTTCCCGGATATCTTTGATGAGCTGCTGCAGATGTTCACCGTTCAGGAGGTGGCCGAATATGTCAGAGGCACCCTAGGGAGCATGCCCAGCACAGTGGACATCGGCCAGTCCATGGATGTAGTCAAACTGCAGTCCATCGCTCGTACAGTGGAGAGCCGCCTCTTCTTCTTCCCTGGTAGGACACTTGTTAATGATTATGCAAAGGGTTTTTCTGAAGATACCAAAATGCATTTTATCTTCAATCTGCCTCCTTTCTGTTATTCCTCTCTTGCCACAGAGTCTCGTAGTATTCTGCTGCCGGTGGTTCTGCATCACATCCACCTGCATCTGCGCCAGCAGAGGGAGCTGCTCATCTGTTCTGGGATCCTTGCTAGCATCTTTGCCATCATTAAGACTAGCTCAATGGTACTGAACAATATACCATGCATATTCAGCATATAGGACTTAATATTGATTGTGATTCCAAAAAAGGTTTCATTTGATTAGAAAATGCAATATAAAATGTACTTAAAAAGAATAGATTAGATTATTGAAATGCACCTACAGCATGATAGCACACATACTAAAGCATTCCCATAAGGAACGTGTTGCATGTCTGTGTGTCTCAGGAGTCTTCTGTTCAGGAGGAAGTGGAGATGATGGTGGAGAGCCTTCTGGATGTGCTGCTCCAGACCCTGCTGTCCATCATGAGCAAGTCTCACTCTGTGGAGACGTCCAGAGGCCAGCGCTGCCCCCAGTGCACGGCGGAGATAACGGTGAGCTTCCACCCAAAGTGTCTCTTCGACGTGCAATTAAAACAGGTTGAATTTGAGTTAATATTTTGAGTGGATTAACCTTCAATGCCCATTTCTGTCACTTTCTTTGGCAGGGGGAGTATGTTTCCTGTCTTCTCTCTCTGCTGCAGACGATGTCAGAGCTCCACTTTCACCATCTACTCAACAACTTCCATAGCAAAGAGGAGTTAAAGGTAGGATATCTCCGGCTGCAAATGATCAAATCATTTTTGCTTCAGCCTGTTTATTGCAACACTTAAGTAATACAATCCTTTTTAGGAGTTCCTGTTGAAGATCTTCTGCGTGTTCCGCAATCTGATGAAACTGAATATCTTTCCCCGAGACTGGAGCGTCATGAGGCTTCTGACTAGTCAGTGAGTCTGCTTTTCCATTTCTGTCATGCAGTCATTGTCCCAGAGACGGTAAGGGAATACAGCCAACCATTAGATCAGAGTCTCTTAAGAGAATCCTGAACTGAAGGTGACGCTTGTGATGCAATTTCTTCATCTATTTTTGGCAGCTAGCTCGTTCTGTTAGCTGACAGTGTGTTGTTTGCTTTCTGCAGCATCATCGTAGTGACAACACAGTTCCTGTCTCCCGCGCTCCACAAGAACTTCTCTGAGGCTGACTTTGATTTCAAGGTGTGTCCGAGCAGCGGGGGCCAAGCATTTAGGAAACCCAGCACATAGACTGTGTGATGTATTGAATACATTCCTAACATTTTCAACATAGCATTTATTTACTTGTGTTTTTGTTTGTTAGGTGTGGAACTCGTTTTTCAGCCTCACTGTGCTGTACATCAACCAGCCCAGTCTGCAGCTGGAGGCGCTCGGCCCGGCAAAGAGAAAGAAAATCCTGGACAAGTAAGTGTCGTGTTCAATTTCACTTGTATATTGACTTTCTTTATTACTTACTTAAATATAACAAAAGACAAACTTTGTCCATGAATCATTTATCAGTTTCTCTTAAGAATTTCCTCAACAGTAAGAAACTTAAGGATATTAATTGTGTGGATTCTATCAAACACAGGTTTATCATTTATCTAACTGTTCATTCTTCATGCACTACTCTTTTCTTTATAGGCATGGAGATATGAGAGTCATGATGGCTTATGAGCTCTTCAGCATGTGGCAGAAATTAGGTACGTCAGACAACCTGACTCTAAACACAAATACACAAAATACAGAAAGGTTTTAGGAAATGACCAACACATATGACTCCAATCTATAATCATCTTTGTAATCCAGGTGACAACAAGCCCCACTTCATCCCAGGAATGATGGGTCCCTTCCTCGGCGTCACCTTGGTGCCTCAGACCGAAGTACGAAATATTATGATCCCAATTTTCCACGACATGATGGATTGGGAGCAGAGGAAAAACGGCAACTTCAAACAGGTCATTATGATAGTGTTATGTAAAGATGGCAGATTATGTGACGCAGCAGCTGTGATAAATATATGGACATCTTTTTGACGTATAATATATACCAACATCTTTTTACTGAATGTATTTATGTCTGTAGGTGGAGGCAGAGCTGATGGATAAGCTGGACAGCATGGTGTCGGATGGGAAAGGCGATGATAACCACCGAGAGCTCTTCAGCCTTTTGTAAGCATCCAACCTGTGTTTAGTGAGCCTGTGGAGTGATACTCAGAGTGATGCTGCTCTCATGGTATTTCCTCTAACATACTCTCTGTGTTGTCTGCCTGTCACACTGCAGGACCATGCTCTTTGGGCCTTATCCAAGGTGAGCTGTAGTCCTCTCACAGCTAAGACGGAGAGACGTTGTCATTCATATCTATTTACTCCCTGTGCTTGTCACCTTTAGTAAGAACATCTCACTGTGTTTTATGTGCAGCCTGCTGGAGAAGATAGAGCAGGAGACCTGGAGAGAGACGGGGATCTCATTTGTCACATCAGTCACAAGACTTGTGGAGCGATTACTGGATTACAGGTATGCAGAGATTAGAGATTACGTTAAACATAATCAAACTGATGGTTTTTGTCATGGAATTACAGAGCAGTAAGATTTTTGAAATATATTTGTAGGGACTGCATGAAAGGAGATGAGATGGAGAGCAAGAAAATTGGCGGTTCCGTCAACCTCATGGTGAGTCATTCCCGGCAGAGTTTGAAGAACGCGTTTATGAATATATTCACACATGGAATTAGATTGTAACCATCATGTTTAATTCATCCCCAGAATTTTTACAAATCAGAGGTCAACAAGGAGGACATGTACATCCGTTACATCCACAAGCTGTGTGACCTGCATCTCCAAGCAGAGGACTTCACAGGTAAAGGAGAGGGTTTTACTTCTTGTGCTGTTTCCCCTCTCCCATTGATTTCAGAGGCAGTAGGAGAGAAACATGAACAAACATAATCATTGAGATCACAATCATGACAGAATTAGGTCTGGTACTGCCACTCACGATGTCAAAGAAATCAGGGGAAGTTGTGACTCCATGTAATCTTGTAAATGTCTTAAGTGCTCTTGCTTGACTCACGTTATTAGCAGTGGTGGCTGTATTGTGTGCGTGTTAAAGTAGCCAAATATGACTAATCAAGTACAACCTTATTCATCACTTAAGTAGAACAAACAACTGGCAGCTGGCAAGATGACTGAAACACATTTCATGTTCTGCAGAGTTGGCTGTGTTTGCACATGTGTTTATTTTGTAAATCCCCTAAAAAAATGTTCTTCAAAAATGTGAATTCACACATACAAAATACAAAAAAATTAAATGTCTCAAAACTGAAATTCGACTAAGAAACTAGTTTGAAATGAAACATAAACTGTATTTGCTGTCAACTTTTGTTTTTGAGCATTTTTCCGAATTTTAATAATAAGATGTACGAAAGATGTAGAAAATTGTAAAAGTACTGAGAGCAGCTGATACGATTTCTGTTCAGGTGCAACATTTTGCACTTCCTCCTTTTGCAAACAAAGCAACACACCCTATGCTCTGGGCATTTTGTGTTTTTTGACATTTTGCCACATGTTCACGAGAACTGGAAAAAGATATTAGTGTATCCCTGCATCTCGAGTCTAAACTATTCAACATGGTTAGTTTTACTAGATGGCCGTTATTACATTTTTCTTCTGATGACCTCTGACATGTGCCCCCTCAACAACAGAGGCAGCGTTCACCCTGCTGCTGTACTGGGAGCTGCTGCAGTGGGAGGACCGCCCCCTGAGGGACTTCCTTCACTACCCCTGTCAGAGCGAGTGGCAACGCAAGGAGAACCTGAGTCGTAAAATCCTCCACTACTTCAACAAGGGCAAGGCAAGTGAATGTTTATAGGGTTATCTCTCACTGCTGCCTCTATGTACTGCAACTGACGCTCAGAGGAAACTGTTTGAATGGAGGCGAGGCAAAGTTAGCTTTATATTGATGGAGCGGTGTTGTTAGGATTGTGCTGGACAAGTCCCAAAAAAGAGACAAGATAATTGATGGTCATTTATCTACACATTGCTGCACAGTACACAAACAAATACAGTTGTCTCTGGTCCCAGATACAAACATGAGAAGTAACAAATGAGTATTAGGTGCAAACAACAAGATACAAAAACAGGTACAGAACAAGGAACAAGACATCTACAAACATGCTGTCCAATAACACTGATGTAGGGCAATAGATACAAATATAATTACAAATAATGCAAATAAAAGCAAGTTAAGAAGTACAAAAACACAAGTTAGTACAACAAAACTGCACTTAATTTCAACACCAGAGTAAATGTATTTCCAGAAAATGTTTTATATTTTAGGCAACATCCTTTCTACCGTGAAGAGAGCAGAACCAAAACTGTGGATTATCGAAACAACATCATCTCATTTTCATTGCTTTGGCATATATCATAAAAGATTATTCTGTGCTTAAGCAAACAGTGAAAATGATATCATATAAATATCTATGAAGATTAGCCCACACAAGGGTCAAATGAGATTTGCTTCCTCGACTCACTCCTTCCTGGCTAGTATTCATCCACAAAATGAGATTAGTTGACTGGTGTCTGTGCTTCGGAGAGGACAATGCCCTCTGGACTGTGGGAGCAGCTGAGGAGGAAATAAAAGTGGCCTCCTTCAATAACTCTTTGTCCTATCTAGTTTTTATTGCTGCCCTCATAGAAAAAGAATAAGTCACGGTTCTGTACCTGTGGGATTCATCTGCTGATGTAACAAATGTTCAAATCTGTCCAGGACAAATAGAGAGCTTAATGTTCTGAAGAACAACTTGAAGGTTGACAATGTAGGCAAATTAAAGTTTGAGTCTGTGATTCTGGAGAAGATTGTTGATATTTGAACTCAACACCTAAACATATCCCCTCCTCCAGGCTCTCCCACTCTCCTGACACACAAAGAGAGGCAACCCCTTCTTACAAAAGACATAGAAAGATTTATCAGGAAACCAGAGAAGAAGCCGATCAGGTCATGTACTGTAAAACATAAAAGCATACATTTCCACTTTTCCAGTAACCATCTCAACAAAACCTTTTAGAATCCAGTAAAAGAATCAACATGCAAGTTGCTCCTGTTTTTTTAATTATTCGTAGAGGCTGGTGCTGACTTTATGTAAAAAATAAATGAATGATGTGATGTTAACGTACATACAACTTCATTTAAATAAAGAAAGACTGACTTTAGATCGGCCTCTTTTTAGTTATCAAATACATTTTGAAGCTATTTTGAATTCCAAATCCAACATTGCTTCGGTAGACTCTCACTACGTTTTTTCTTTGCTTACTTTCAAATGATAAGGCTCACATAAAGGATTTTCTTTATATTCATCTAATTGATCTCCGACTTTGCAGTGCTGGGAATATGGGATCTCTCTCTGCCGGGAGCTGGCTTTCCAGTACGAGACTTTATATGATTATCAGAGCCTCAGCTGGATACGGGTAAGCAAAGTCTCGCATTCTTCCTGTTATTATAAAACACACATCCTTTGTGATGCTGGAGGGTGAGACTTCCAGCTCCCTTTTTCACCGTCACCCTGTTATGCAATGTGATGTCCGTACAGCGTCAAACACAATGTCCTAATTACCTGTGCACTGCCACACTCATCAGTAAACACAGAGCCTACAGTTATTAAATCATTATTCATAATGACTCCTTTGCATGTGTATCATTCTGTGACAGAAAATGGAGGCAGCGTATTATGACAACATCATCGAGCAGCAGAGGATCGAGCCGGAGTTCTTCAGAATGGGCTTCTATGGCAGGAAGTTTCCTTTCTTCCTCAGGGTACGACTTACTAAATCTCATCTCGGCCTCTCCTGACACAGTTGTGATTCTGCTGATGCGCACGGTTACGTTTCTCCTTCATGCTTCAGCGGGAGAACAAGTCAGAAGCAATAGAGAGAAAGCTGGGATAGAGTTGAAAATAAGTGGGTTATACCTCTATCAGCCGTTCTCTGCTATTGCTGTTATTAATCTCATTAAAGTATATTATAACTTCTTGTGTAAATATCAGGCTCTAGATAAATAATTACATTCTCGCTGGATCATCTTAAAGTATAAGAAAATGGGTCCATGACATTTCTAAGTATCTATTTCATTCACTTATTTTACCATTTAGAGTTTGCTTTAAGCAAAAATAAAAAGCCCAAATGTCATATATTTCATTAAAGCAGCTATGATCTATATTTGTATAATAATCTTTAAGAAGAAAATGAGAGGATGAGAACTGTTGCAGTAATGGACTAACAGACCTTTCACCAAAACCTGCAGCTCCACCTTACTTTACTGAGCTTTAAATGGAGTTTGATGACATTGTTTCGTTTCCAGCTGAACTTTGATGTTAACTCTCTCTTAAAGTGTTTTTCTCTGATGCAGGAGGCTGTTTTTAGTTTAGCAAGAAAACACATTTGAAAGCCATCTGTACACTCGCTTCTCAGGACTTAACAGAAGCAGACACAGTTGGTGACTAGCTGAAGCACATCATTAAACATTTAGCAGCTATATTTCCCTCAGGATTTGGAAGAGGGGTTAAAAGAGAGTGCATTTTGGACTTTTACTAAAGCATCTAGTACTTCTAGCTCTTCAGCAATAAAATCAGAGCACAAGTTGACTTATTATTTGTAGTCAACTATAACCGTTGTGTACTAAAGTTATTCATTAACATGTCATTGTTGATGTTTCTCTTTGTGCAGAACAAGGAGTTTGTCTGTCGTGGTTATGACTATGAACGGCTCGAGGACTTCCAGCAAAGGATGCTGGGGGAATTTCCACAAGCCATTGCCATGCAGCATCCGAACCAACCAGACGACACCATCCTGCAGAGTGACGCTCAGTGTATCCTACACAGTTTACTGCGCTAAAGCCATCAGTTATCTGCATGGTTATCCAAACAACAACCTTTAATTAAATTATTTTAATTTCCTAATGTTATAAAAGCAAATCCTCGCTTTTCAGAAAGGTTACAACAGTGAAAAGTTAATGTTTAATCAATTAATCAATTATGAACATTGTTGGCAATTCATTTGAATTATATTTACTAATTGTTTTACCATTACAGCTTGCACTATGATTTGCTGATGCATGAATGATCTTCATGATGTTACAGAATAAATAGTATCACGGCATGTTGAGATTGATTTCAGACAGTGAAAGCAAACCCCCTTTGTCAGCATTTCTTTTGAGTATCCCTCCTGCTCTTCCTCCTCTGTGAATATGCATGTGTGTCTGTCTTTCTGTCATTTCCTTGACACTTGACTTCTAGACTTGCAGATCTATGCAGTGACTCCAGTGTCAGACATCTCTGATGTGCCTCAGCTGGAGCGTGTGCCCGAGAGGATCAAGAGCTTCTACCGCATAAACAATGTCAGCCGCTTCCACTATGACAGGCCTTTCCACAAGGGGCCCAAGGACCGCGAGAACGAGTTCAGGGTACGGTGAACCAGCAGTCCTCCGCTCAGTCCATTTCTGCCTCACTGTTCAGTGTTTCTCCAGGAAATGCTGAATTCAGATGAGATGCTGGTTAAAAACATGGAATGGGACAAAAACTCAAAGCCTTAGTTAGATTCATGCCGAGGTATCTTTGGCTGATATAGGACAAGTCAAGTCAGTTTTTTTTATATAGATCAATATCACTAATTTACCTCAAGGCGATTTAAAATACTTGTGTATCATCATATGACACCCTCCATCCTTCAGCCCCTAGATTCCTCAAAACCTCTTATTTTGGAAAAATATGGAGAAAATGATCTTCCAGGACAAATATCCACACACTAGAAAAAGCCAGGTAAAATGATGGTAAGGACAATCTGGATGACAAAAAAATTGTTATATGAGCAATATTGATTTGGGAGGATGTCAATAACTTCCAACAAACAACAGATACAACAAATAGACCCACCATGGAAACCTGGTGGAGGATAGACAAAACAAACAAACAAACAAACAAACAAACAAACAAACAAGAGGCCAAACTCAATAACACAATTCATACAGAAAGAAGAAAAACATGCACATATAATCTGAATCAACTCTCTTAGATACAGCAATGTTGGTGAATCTCCCAAAGGACAAAGAGAGGACAAAGAGAGGACAAAGAGAGGACAAAGACGAGCAAATGGGGGTAAAGGGAGAGATAGTGATTCTGGGACAAGAAACGAAGAGAGTGTCAGAGAGATGCCGAGGTTTTCAGAAAGCTTGCAGAGTTTTCATCATCAGGACAAAGATATACTCCTCTTTATATTTACCTCTCCAGTTTCTCAGATTATTTCTCCGCAGGTTTATAATTCATTAAAACACTGCAGAATGATGTAATGTGGCAAGAAGGAAATTTCCACGATTATGACGAAATAAGACAAAGACACAAAGCTGGATTAGCATACAGGAAAAGACAATCTAGTTAAATGATCACAATTATTGATGACTTAGTGTATTTTCTGTTGATCAACGTATTTATTGAACATCAGCCCTTTTCGTTACGTTACTCCCTCCCCTTGTATCTAGTCCAAGTACAGCCAATAGGGCTTTAGAAACGTAACCCTTAGATGCAAAAGTGGGTCTTTTTGGACCCGGTGAGGTGGTTTTCTTCAAGTATCTTTTTAATTAAAAAATGTTATCACTTCATATTCCAGCTATTCCTCAAAAAACATGTTTTGGATATCATGCCATTCAAATTTTGTATTTACATTTTAAGAAATTGTAGTTTTTGTATTAATACCCCAAGCTTCATAATTGGGT